TCATCTACTTTTCGGCCTCTGAAATCGCAGGTCGACGTTGGGCCCCTTCGGCCGCCTGCACATCGACTTGCGCTTCAGCATGAATTCGTTGTATGTGTGCACTCGCAGCCCTCAATTGCTCTCGATATTGTCTAATCCTGTCATTCCATTCCTGGATCGCAAGATGATGGCAACTATGCTCTTCCATTGCGATGCAATCATTACAGAGCCATGCCAGACTACGCTCGGGGCAAACCCCCGAACATGGAGAACGCACAGGTCGTCGACATGACCCCCCCGGTTTGTGCGCTTTTCCTGGGCGTCGATTCCCCGCGCAGGAAGGGCGCGTTGGGCCGGCATTCCAACGAACTTCCCGCATCGAAGAACTGCTGGTGGTCGTATTAGTCGAAATTCTCGGAGAATCGAAGACATTGAACCCTCTGGAGCTGGAGCGCCCGGCCCTGGGGGCCTTGCTGGATCGCCCCCCTCGCCACTCTGGGTAGGCGCGTGCTATTCTCTCGTCCTCGCATTCCTCTTGGAATAATCCACGCCCATGTTCATCGCCCTCTCATCTCGCTCATCCTGAACGACAAGCCCGCCAAGTGCTGGCGCTCTCTCTTCCTGTCCTGGGCAGAGAAAAGTCGGGTCTGTAGAAGCCCCGTGGCAATGGCGAAACATCCAAGTCATCATTTTCATTATTTGATTTCTTCGTCAATCGATGAGGAGTCGTCCCTGTGGCCTCTCGCGCACTCCTTATTGTGCGTGTGGCGTCACAAAAATCTCCTATCGGCCGTGCCGATGAGTCTCCACCTTGGGTTAGCATTTCTTCATATTGTCTTTCATCGTCTGAATCAAGAACGGCTTTCTGACTCGCCTCAATCATTGCTCGGGTATAAACAAGGTTGTCATATAAATTAAGAAGAGGTTCGAGATGACGTGACGGACCGGGTGAAGTGTGAAATTGGGCATGCTCTTCATTCTTCTCCATTGAATGGGAACTGCCATCTTCAGATTGCACATCGCTCACATCTTCACTCTGTCCATGCAATGCGCGCCGGACAGCGCACCCGGCACCCGGACGTTGAACCCCCGATGCCCCGAAGAGATCGGCATCCAGCAATATCTCCACCTCCAAATCTATATCTATCAACTTCTGAGAGCCAGCGCGCGCCACAACTGCTCCAGAAGATTCCCCCGTAGAAGCTCTGCCTTGCCCTCCCTCCTGTTAGAGGGTAACTCCTCGGAACTTCTTTCTGAGTCAACTGATGAATCCCCCTCTGTCAAATCAAACAGTTTCTCTGCTGCTTTCTCATCGGGAAGCATATGCGATGTATTTCGCCTATTCAAGGCGCTCGTGCCATCATCGCATTCGGAAGGCCCTTGACGATCTGTCCTTCCGAACATTCCTTCTTGAGATCCCATGCTCTGCGAAGCTAGCGGCTGTGCCGCCGTTTCGGCTGAAAACATATCTTTTGCCTGGATATTCATTATCCCAGCAGTATGGACCGACGGCGTCCCATAGTCAATGGGCCTCGCAGAAGACATGGGCAAGAAAGGATAATGCCGTTAAGCAAGCAATATATGCAACCCTGAATGAAGGGAGGAGGCCGGCCGGCCGACGACGCGACGACGACGAGGGAACGACCCCTCGGCGCGCGCGTGCAAGCCAGCACGCTCCTTTTATGTCGCACCTGAGCCAAACAGCTTCAGGAAAAGTCCAAGTCGAGAAGAGAGGCAAACAGTGCAAGCAAATCAAATGTGGTGAGAAGGGCAGGAACCAGGTGGTGCGAAGGGGTACATTGACTCATCGCCCATTGGGCTGAGAACGTAGCACTAGCCGCCAAGATCACTACATGCGCCCCGAGGAAGCCCACCACCATGGCGCTGCAGCCCGCGTTGCCGCCCCGGACAAGGGGCCCAGGGCAAGGAGGCCAGAGTCCCCGGACTACTGGCCGCTGCGGTTTTGGCCGCCCCGCGGCCCCCAGGACACCTGATCTTGAACCACTTGGCTACAGAAGCGAAAAATGCCCCAAACACCCCCTTGCTGCACTTCACCTGACTATGCATGTGAACTGTCATGTTGTCAACGTTCGGTTGATCAGTCGCTGCGTCGTCGTGCCAAGGTGTCGTGCATGAGTGGGTCCGTAACGCAATAACGCATCAATAAGCTTGCTGGAGTGAATTCCCCAAAGTGAAGTATTGCATTGAGTAGGTGTGAACTATGTGGTGTAAGCTAGGTGGTGCACTTCCTGTGAGGTCTAAGCTACTCGGTGCCAGCTCTATCTATGCTTGTACAGTATATAGTGTAAGCTACATAATGCAAAGCAACGTGGCACAAGCGAACTATGTTGTCCAAGCTGTTAACTATGCTGTCTATACTGTCAAATATGCTGCATCGATGTGTGCAAAGCTGCGTGCTTTAAACTATGCTGCCTAAGTTATGCGGAGCCAGCTGCATGGTGCCAGCTACGCGGTGCACTCGACGCGGTGTAACATATGTGGTGCAAGCTGTGCGGTGCAAGCTCTGTGGTATTAGCTACGTTGTTGAAGCTTCTATGGTCGGAACTGTGCGGTGACCACGTGAAGTCCCGACGCACCCGGCCCGCGCACAAGGGGCGCACGAGACGCCCACAGGCGGCCACGGGCGGGCACCAGGCGAAGCCTCACCAGACCCCCTCGCCCTCCATGCGAACGAGGCGCCCACGAGGCGCCCACGGGCGGGCACCAGGCGAAACCTCGCCTTACCCGTCCAATGGAGAGCCCCTGATTAAAGCAAGCACTGCCTGGGAACGAAGACTCGATACACCCAACAGCGAGCACGAGCGGTGAAGAGCGGGCACGGGCGGCCACATGACGAATCCTCGACACACCCATCCAGCGACTGTGAGCGGCGAAGAGAGGCTACTGCGACTACGGGCGGCGAGGAACGGGTACGCACAACCACGGAGCGAATCTTTGGCACACCCGTCCAATCCTTGAAGGACCTAAGCTAGAGCCCCATAGTGGAAGTACTGCTTCGGATATACATGTTCGGAAAGAGTGTGAAACATGCGCGGGACAACAATTCCTCCTACTCCGCCTCCTCCGCTCCCCTGCTCCTCCTCCTGGTTCTCCCTCCCGTCCTACCTCCTCCTACTCCTTACTCCTCCTCCTCCTCGTGGCGTCAGACCTTAGCCTGGTGGTATCATGGTGCCGCGCGCTGGGGTGCCACAGTGTGACCACAAGAGTGACGAAGTATACAATGCGATGACACGTATGAGGGGGAAGGCCAGACTTACGCGCAAGCAAAGGTTTCTTCAACTAAGATGTACCACCGTGATCATCCGCTCCTGCCCTCGATTAGGATCGCCTAACAAGTTCTTCTGTTATGCAATGCTACACACTGTCATTGATGTGATGCGACGGGTGCTGCTGCATTGGTTCCAACAGTAAGCGGTAGTCAACGGAGCCTCCAGATAGCTGGATCCACCGGAGGCATTCCATCATCCCTTCCCCTCCTCCTGCGCCTCGTGGCCCGGCTGCTGCTGCTGCTGCCGCTCCTCCTCCTCCAACTCCTCGCTCTCCTCCGCGTCCTGCTGGACTGGGTAGGCGGCGGGAGGTGGAGGAGGATAATGAGGAGGAGGAGGAGGAGGAGGAGGAGGAGCAGGAGGACGAGGACGAGGAGGGGGGGGGAGCAGGCCTCCCAGAGAGCCCGCAGTCCTTGCTACTACTGCTGGAAATCCACTGGCGGACATACATACTCCCGCGGGCTGCTCGATAAACAATCAAGAGATGTGGGCACGCGGCCGTGTGCCACCCTGGTCTCGGCTGCGACAGATATTGGCGTGGAAGAGGAGCTGTTGTCAGAGCCGCTTGCAGCTGGCGCAGAAGAGGATGAGTGATAGAGGGAGGGAGTCGAAGGAAGGCCAGTCCGCTGAGACAACGGCAATGGCCCAGATCGGTTGAAGATCAGTCCCAGGGCCTTTCCCCCAGGTTCATCCTGGCCCATTTTCCGAGGCGGACCCAGCCATGGCGACGAGGAAGCCTCCCAGGAGCCCCGATAAGGACGACAAAACTGCCAGGGAGAGCCAGCCTTGTCCCGACTCGAGCGAGGGATGGACCCAGACATCTGGCGGCTCAACTTTCACGAGACGTTGACCCGCATATCTTTCGACCACTTAACTGGGCTCGGCTTTTCAGCCGAAGCCGTTTTCTGACGGTGCTGGGGCCCGAAACCAGCGTCCGAAGGCCAAACATGACGAGAAAACTGCCCTCTCGATCTTTTGGAGACGCTGGATGTACGGGCATGGGGGTGGGACGTTCGTGGGGACTCGCTCAAGGGGTGGGTGGGGACATCGACTTGGAATCGGCGATGCATCGCCGGCTAATCTTCGATAGGTCCCCGATAAGGAATCCCAGCGGTCCTGCGTCGATGCGTTCACCCCTGAGCCTATCCCACTTCTCAAACGTTGCCTCTTGGCTTTCGGGTTATAGCCTGGCTGTGCGGCGTTTGTTCGGGAATTCTGGGGCACCCCCGAAACGTTGTCGGCGAGGCGCAACTGCTGGAGAGCATCCCGAAGCTGAAAACCACCGAGAAGCAAAGACAACGCGCGAATCCCTCACGTTGCCCTTTACCGTCGGGAATGTTTGCTTAGCGTGCCGCGGTGGCGGCCCCGGCGAAACGCTATGCCTTGCAAGCGGATGGCGTGACGCTCCGCTCCGCGGGGCGCGAGGCTGGGAAAGGCTCAGGTCGTCGACGCTTGGGAATTGGGGTGTAGTACATTAGTGTGTCGCACCCGAGCGTGGTGGACCAGACCCGGTGGCGCGACACGTTCATTTCCAAACGTTCCTGGCCGTTCGACATGAACCGGATCGGTGGAAATCGGCTGGCTCTTCGGCCTACTTGGAAAAATCGCGATCCAAACCGAAATCCGAAGGCGAATCGAATCGGAATCGGAAGCCATGAAGATTTAGTCGCACCGATTTGGATGAGTCGAAATAAGCCCTGAAAGAGGGGGGGGCGCGAGCCCGGCAATTTCTTTCGCCCATGAACCGCGCTGAACCCCCCCGCCGCGGGCTGGGCGGCTCGCGGCAGGCCGCGCGCTGCGCCGCGCGCTGCGCCGCGCGGGGCCCCCGCCTCGGCTGCTGCGATCGGGCCACCTGGGGCGCCTCGGCATGGCGGGGGGCCCGCGAGCCTCGAAGGGGGGGCGAGGAATGGTAAGGATATGTTTCTCCTCCTCCTCCTCCTCCTCCTCCTCCTCCTCCTCCTCCTCCTCCTCGTCCTGCTCCTCGTCGTCCTCCTCCTCCTCCTCTTCCTCCTCCTCCTTCCTTCCTTCCGCTCGGCTTGACGCGGCCCGCAGCGTCGGGACCGCGCGGCTGGCCAGGCCGCCCGGCTCGGCCCGTTCACTCCGCGGGCGGCTTTCGAATGCCTGCCACGCGGCGACCCTCCCCGCGGCCGAGGGCGTGGAGGGTGCGGGGGGCGCCCGCCCTCCATTTCCTCGGGGACGGGTCCTTCGGGCGGCCCCCCCAACGCGTAGCTGGCGGAGAGCCGCGCGAGGGCTACCCCCAGCAGCCCCGTTGTGGTGAGCAGGTTGCTGCGCGGCGAGCACGCGGCCCGGAGCGGAGAGGCGCAGGGTGGCGCAGTGGGCCCGGGGCGAGGGGGCGGGGCCGGGCCGGGGCGCCCCGGGGGTGGAAGCGGGGGCAGGGCCAGGAAGGGCAAGACGGGGCCAGGGCGGCCGGGGGCCGAGGCCGGGCAAGGGAGGGCAAAGCGGGGCGGGGCGGGCCAAGGGCAAGCCGAATCCAAAAGTGACCACACCAGCGTTAGGTCGCTTCTGAAGTCGGCCCCGAAGGCGGCGCGGGGCCCAGGGACGGGGGCCCAGGCCAAGGACCGCAAGGCGGCCCAGGGGGGGCCGCGGCCCGCCCGGGTCAGGCTGAGCAGCGCTTAGGGACCCCCCGCCAGGCGGCCTGCCAGCGGGGGCGAGGCGGCCCCACGGAAGCCACGGCGAAGCCCCAAAAGACTCGGGCCAGGGGCAACGGGACCGGGCGGGGGGCGGGGGGTCTGGGGACTCTGCACCTGTCCGCTCCGGCTGGACCTAATTACTGATGCGCCTTCTGCAGCGCAGCCTCGAGGCGGCGCGCCTCCCGCGGCGACAGGCTGGCGGCCGGGGCGAGCGGCCGCCCGCGGGCTGCAGGGGGGCGCGGCCACCGCTGGGCCGGCCGTCTGAGGACCTGCGCCGCCCGCTCGCAGAAGCAGAGCAGGTGGGCCGCCGTCTCCTGCGACTGGCCGCAGAGGCGGCCGGGCCCGGCGCCCCCCGCCGCGTCGCATGCGAACGATCCTGCAAACACAGGCGGGCCCACGCGCGCACCTCAGGGAGCGAGGCGCCAGCCGCGCTGTGCTCGAGTGCCGTGTGGCCCGCGCCACCTCCTCCTCCTCCTCCTCCTCCTCCTCCTCCTCCGTTTCCTCCTCCCTCCTCCCTCCTCCTTTTCCCTCCTCCTCCTCCTCCTCCTCTTCTTCCTCCTCCTCTTCCTCCTCTCCCTCCCTCTTCCTCTTTTCCTCCTCCTCCTCCTCCTCCTCCTCCTCCTCCTCCTCCTCCTCCTCCTCCTCTTATTCCTCCTCCTGTTGCTGTTGGGTTTGGGACCGTCGCGCGGCGCAGCCATCCCCCCCCCCCCCGCGCAGCGGCGGTCGCCGTGGAGGGCTGCAGGCCGAACCGCGGTTATGTTCGCGCTGTGGTTCGTCTGTGCCCTCGCGAAGATCTCAAGTCCCCCCCGAACCCCCACCTCGATAAACTGACCCTCCCGTCCACATCCTGGCCCTCCGAGGGGGCGAACCCGTGCCACGGGCGCGCGCCAAGTAATGAGGCTAGGAGCCGGAGCCAAGGCAGAGGGCCGGCAGCGGTGCTGCGGAATGCGTGCGTCGGAACACATACTCGTGAGCGCGTCACTGGTCTTATAAGTGTTGGGCTGGGAGAGATCCGGCAAACTATGGGCTGCACAGCGCAGCTGGGTTTGTGACTAGGACTGCTGCGCCGCGCGTGCATCGGACGTGGGTGAACCGAGGGCCTGATAGGTGCAGAGCGTGAGCGCGCCCGCCCCAAACCCTCGATCATGTTTTCCATCCAGATCCCTGGGTGGAAGGAGGCAGAGAACGTGGACGACGGCGGCGCGTGCTAGCTGGGGCCGGTGGTGCGTCGCAGCCCACGCGGCTCGGTTGTCCGGGCCCGTGTCGAACCACATGCCTGCATGTGTTTCGCGCTCGCTTTAAAGATGTCGGGGCGCGAGAGAGCAGGCAACGCGTAGACCGCAGAACGTTGCCGGCCAAAATATTGGAAGTCCCGCGCCGCATGCGCAACGGACGTAAACTGAACCAGTGGCTGGATAGGTGCATCAAACTGCTGCAACTGATCCTGCATCCCCCCCCGTGGGGGTGAGATTTAAGAGTATGTGGCGTGCGCTGTTGTCTCGCGCCGAAGCGTTTTTTCCTGCGCGGCATCTCCTGGCGCGAGCGTGCTCGCGTGCACGGTTGCGGCGCGCGCATTCGGAAATATCAGGTCTAGCAGTAGCGGCCGTATTTGTACTCATGTAAATACTACTATAATACTTAGGTCATGCTCGTGCGTTTGCTCATTGTCCTACACATCCTCCTGACCTTACGCATACAGCAGCGTCGTATGCTTATTTCTACTAGGTGATCTGCTGATGCTACTTCTGCTCAAGATGTGCGACGAATCCGCGGCGCCGCTGGTGTCTGTCCGCGCGCGTCGTTTTCGCACCGAGACCCCGCCGCCAACGCGCCCCCCACAGATTGCTGCGTGTACAGAGCCAGCAAATTACTATCTGAGTACAGGGGCAAGCCAGTGCCCATTAACAGATTCCTAGAATGACACAGACCCACTCTGCTTACTGATCAGTCAGCCGAAGCGCATGGCGCTCAGGCGGGATATGGCGGCGTCCACGCCGTTGTTGAAGTTGCCGCAACGGATGTACATCGCGCTCAGCATCGAGTCCTGCGCTACGCTGGGGCCGTTTTTGTTCCGTGTTCCAGGTCCGCGTTTTCTTTCTGTTTTGGGCACCATTTCTGGCGCGTGCTCAGCCAGGGGGTTGGCTTGTCGCCCGCCTGCTCGTTTGATTTCTGTTTCCAATACTTGTTTTATTGTGTTTGTTATATCACAATGCCGCCTGCGTGGCGTCCACATGCTGGGGTCTACTACTACTACTACTACTACTACTACTACTACTACTACTACTACTACTACTACTACTACTACTACTACTACTACTACTACTACTACTACTACATTACTACTACTACTACTACTACTACTACTACTACTACTACTACTACTACTACTACTACTACTACTACTACTACTACTACTACTACTACTAGTAGTAATAGTTCTACTACTACTACTTACTACACTACTTACTACTACTATACTACTACTACTACTACTACACTACTACTACTAATACTAGTACTACTACTACTACTACTACTACTACTACTACTACTACTACATACTACTACTACCTACCCACTACTACTACCACCACTACTACTGCTACTACTACTACTACTACTACTACTACCACCACCACCACCACCACTACCACTACTACTACTACTACTACTACTACTACTACTACTACTACTACTACTACTACTACTACTACTACTACTACTACTACTACGACTACTACTACCACTACTACTACTATTACACGGGGCCGCACGGGCACGGGGCGGCACGGGCGGCACGGAGCGGCACGCGCGCATCGGCACGGAGCGGCGCGGGGCGGCACGGGGGGCGAAAGCCGGCACCCAAGGCCAGATAGATAACAGAAGAGAGAACGCCTAGGTGCAAGCATCTGTTTGGGGAACAGCTGAAACGAAGGTGCTCCACGATTGTGGAAACATATGCGAAACGCGCAAGAAACGCTCGAAACCGAAACTGTGTGAAAATGATGTGAATTCCTGGATTTACGGCTTTCTCCTTCCTCAAAAAAAGGAGTGCCAGAAAAAAACAGCGGCGTTGCAGGCGCGTCACAAGACTGGTTTCATATGAAGAACGCATTAGAAATGCTTGAACGTAGAACTCTGCGAAAACAATATTACTTCCTGAATTTATGTTTTTTCTTCAGAACCTGACTTTAAACGCACGGCGTCCTGAACTCGTTGTTTCTTCGCCCCCCCTCCGCCCACGACGCTCCCGTAGCACGCGTCGTCTGTGAGCTGGCGGTAGAGTTTGAGGGCGTTCGTGAATTTATCCGCATCGTTGACGCCATGCCGATACAAATGAATGTTGAAGATAAGCGCGGGGGCGAGTTTTTTGGGGGCTCCTTTCATATACTTCGATCCCTTATCCCAAGCTCTGATAACATTGTTGTTCTTGTAGTGGTAGAACGACCGGGGGTTGTCTGCGCCGAATTTCCCAATCCGCCTCTCCACCGCCGCCGTTGCGTCACGGATGTTAATCATCTCGTCGTCGTCGTAAGAGGAATCCAAGAACGAAGCTGGAAAGGCACTACCTGCGGACACAATCGCGTATGCTATACGCTCTTTTTCCTACTACTACCACTACTATTGATTATAAAAATGCTATTACTATTGCCAGTGCTACGCGATTGCACCCCAAAGCCTTCGAAAAAACCCAGGAGCAAACGGAGGCCCAAGTAGGTGAGGAACCGGACGAGGGGCCCTGTGGCAAACACGCTGTTGTGGCGGTGCTTCCGCGCTTTGTTGTCGAAGCCGCACTGGCGAATACCGCGGCCACGAAAAATCTAAAAAACCGCCATGCTGTAAGCAAAAAGCTGGCTTTGCAATAACACAATCTGGTTTGAAATCGTCTTACCACCGCCGCCAAGATCAACCTCAGAGCTCAGATACAAAATGCAACCGGTACTGCATCAAAGCGCCTCCGTCCCCTTCTAATCCTCATCCTGCCCCTCTTCTTCCTCGTCGTCGTCGTCCTCCCCCTCCTCATCCTCATTGTCACCATCATCATCGTCATCTCTCCTACTCCATATCCTCCTCCTCCTCCTCTTCCTCCTTATCATCATAATCATCGTCACTCCCCCTCGTCATCACCATCATCATCATCATCATCATCATCATCATCATCATCATCATCATCATCATCGTCACCATCATCATCATCATCATCATCGTCATCCCTCCTCCCCATCCCCCCCCCTC